GCCAATTTGGATGCCTTTTATTTCTTTTACTTATTGCCCTTGCAAGTCCTCCAATATAATATTGAATCAGAGTGATAATGGTGGTGATAATAAGCATGAGCAACAGTAATTAACTGTATTAAATACTATGTATATGAATGATTGTATAAAATACAATATACATTAATGAAACAGTGTTGATGAAAGATTGTATACAACACAATGTACATGTATGAAACACAATGTATATGAATGATTGCAGGCAAATAATAAAAATATGAGAAGGGAGGTAGAAAGGGCTATTTGTTAAAGTCATCTTCTTGTTGACACTTCTATAATAGCAGCACTAGATAACCAAGACAATGCTATAGTAACAACCAAATATCTATTAAAATCAAAGAGAAAAATTCCTATTCGTGGAAGCAATATGATTTACCCTGAGCTTACAAAGGATGCAGGGAGCTCTGGTGGCCTAATGTGTAAAGACCTGTGCTGACAACCCAAAGATAGGTGGTTCAAACCTATCAGCTACTGCACAGCAGAAATATAGGCAATCTCCTTCTGTGAGATTTACAGCTTCTCATACCCACTGAAGGGTCAGCTATGGGTTGGTTCCAACCTGACGGCAACAAGTTCAGTTGTTATTGAAGAAGAAATACAGGAACTGTCATAAAAAAACTAGTTACGCTTTTGGCTGCTAACTAACTGAAAGGTTAGCAAGTTGGAGCTACCAGCTGTTCCACAGGAAAGAGATGTGACCATCTGTTTCCACGAAGAATCACAGCCTTGGAAATTCCATGGGGCAGTTGTACTCTGTGTCCTGTGAGGTTGCTAACATTGAAATCAGCTTACTGACAGTGGGTGTGGTTTTGAGACGATAAAACTCTTCTTGCCCACTTTATAAATGATTTAGAGAGTAAGAGGACTTTCAAAAATGAAGATTTCAGAAGGTTTTACGAAATTATAAAGAGATTTACAAATATAAGCTGTTTTGTTAGGTACATCTGAGTCAACTACAATTCCTAGCCACCCTTTGAGAAGCAGATCTGACCCCGCCCTGTCCAGCATCACCCTCACTGTCTGTGTCATGCTTAATCCTATTTTGGCAGTCACTGTCAGGCCATATTGTTGAGGGTCTTCCTCTTTCACTGACTTCTCCCATCATGCTCTCTCTCTCCAAGGACTAGCTGCTGCTAAAACTATGCCCAAAAAAGTGATAGAGTTTCACCATCTGTGTCTCTAAGGAGTACTATGGATGCACTTTTTCCAGGACAGATTTGATTGTTCTTTTTGGATGTTCAATATTCTTCTCCACCATCACAATTCAAAGGTCATCGATTCTTCTTCATTCTTCCTTATTATTGTACAATTTTCAGATGCATACAAAGTAAGTTAAGACACTCTGGCTTGCATCAGGGGTCCCTTAGTCTTTAAACTCACTTTGTTTCTCTTTAGAACTTTGGAGATGTCCTGAGCAGCAGATTCCCCCAATGTAACACATCTTTTGATTTCCTGAATGCTGCTGCTATAGGTGTTGATTGTGAATATAAGTAAAGTGAAACTGTTGACAACTCCAATCTTTCCTCTATCTCTGATGTTAACTTTTTGGTGAGGACTTTTCTTGATGTTGAGATGTAACCCATTTTGAAGCCTGGAGTCTTTGATCTTCTGTAGTAAGTGCTCCAGGAAGATTTCAAGTCATCTTTACGGTCTGGTTTTAGTAGTATTGCTCCATTTTGTGTTGGCAGTTTTAGGACTTTGCCCTATGCCTCTGTTTCTTAGGAAATACATTTTTTTCTGTGACTCACTTTTTAAAAAGTAAGAAAGCTGTAGTAAGATTAGAAATTTAAAGAGCAAAGTATGAAAGGAAGACAGCATTGAAGTTCTGTGACAGTCTGTCTTAGGATGTGTCTCTTGCTTCATTAGTGGTGGTTTGATTCTCACTGCTTCGTTGCCCCATTGCAGTGCAAATGCTTTTTACTCCATAGAATCTGTTAATAACTTACATATCACATTGTGGAAAAGAAGACCTGGAGAGAATAAGAAGCAGGACAAATCCATTTTGAGAAAGTTAGAGGACAAGGCAAGGTTTGGGTCATGGAATTAAAAGGGCAGCAGGCACGGGAGGGCTGATACTTCTGCTGAGATGTAGGGCTGCAGATGAGTGGTAAGAGAGCATCACAAAACTTGTGTGATTTGTAGTTAATTGTGTCTTAATGGTGACTCCAGGTACTGTAGCCTAGAACAGCAATTCCATACTTTTCTTGACTGTAACATTTAATGAACAGAATTTTCCCCCCCTTTTCTCACAGTTTGTTATGCCAGTTCCAACTCATGGAGACCCCATGTGTGCAGAGCGCAATTACTCCAGATGGTGTTCCTGGTCTTTCAGAGCAGAATGGCTGGAATCATAGTCTGCACTGAGTTGTGCTATTCACCCAGAATCTATGCATTTCCTGTAGTTCAAACCCACCAGAAGCTCCTATGGGGGGAAAAAAAATTCCCATTTTGATTTATTTCCTTGGAAATTTGATGGAGGGTCACTATGAGTTGGAAAGTGACTCAGCAGACAGGGAGTGAGTGTGAGTGTGCAGACATAGACTTCTGAGGGACCTCAGTGTGGTCTCAAACCTCCAGCCTCATTAACTGACCCTCCGGTGAGTTACCACGGCTATAAATCACATGGCAAGAGATCTCTGTTCCTTCCGTGGAGCTGTTGGTGAAGTTGAACAGCCTGAGCAGTGTGGCCTTTGAATTAGCAGCACATCTCCCTGCAGACTGTGCTCCCAGAGCTTGGTAGTGGATCCAGCACAAGTCTTTTGTGCCGTGTCAGGACCTTAAGAGCACTACGAGTAAGGAGTACTATTATTGGGAAATAGGGTTCAATTGTAGAAGATGTGATGGGAAACGATGAACACTAAGCTCTTCTATATCACAGATAATGCTTTGATTGTCACCAGGCATGCGATTTAGCTGATACAGAATATCGCTGGCGGTAAAAGTTCAGTAGTGAATGAATTCTTCCAAGACACCCAGTCACCCTGATCCCAGCAGCAGTGCACCTCACACAGTCTGCCCTTGAGGTCTGCAAAGTGTCAGACATTGAAAATGCTCTGAGGAAAGTTTCAGATAAATGAGGAATGGAGAGAACTTGATGTGAGTTGCTAAGAGGTGATGTCTTGGGATCTGAGTTTACCTTCGGTTGATCATTTTGACAACATGGTCATCAAAATGTAGTTTCACCCCTGTTGTTTCAATTTCTTTTCGCTCTTTGAATCACTTTTTATTTCTCCCGAGCGCCTTGCCTTTCTAACCAAGATCGCTCAGTTTGCTTTGAAAACGAGATGTTGTCATTATCCAAGCACAATATTCCCTGGAATGACTATAGGTAATGGAGGAGGCACTAACACATGAGCCCTTTATAGCTGCAATTGTTCTTTCCTTTATTAGTTTGTTTTAAAGGAAGATTTCCGTGGATTGGTTATTGCACATTAATTGCTGTGACTTTCAGGAAATGAATCATATCTTGGTGTGTGTTTATGTGCTTGCCCCGGCTAGGAAATATCTTTTACTGTATCTATTAAAACTATAAAAAAGTTGGTCTTGCCACTGTGCTGTGATTTTAATATTTCCAATAAATATCTTTCTCATTTTGTTTTTGAAAATATGTGATGTTTCAGTTTTGTTTGTTTGTTTGTTTGTTTGTTTTAAAGTGCTAATGTATTCCTTTGAAGTTTCTTTCCAAGATGGCTAATTATTTGAAGGAAGCTGCATTCTTCCTGGAGGCACATCTGCTTTAATAAGGTGGAGGTTAAGTTGCTAACTGGGTTGTTTCTATTCAAGATTTTACAGTCCTGATACTCTCTGTTGAACTCAGAACACCATAAAGTATCAATGTCACAGAGGCCAGTGTTGTCCATCAGGACTTTCTGGCTCTCACCAGTCTGAACCCCTTTCCATAAAAACAAAATGAGTAATCTTAATGTAATCAGAAATTCTTATCTAAAATTCAAAGCAAATTAAAATGAAATATTTTCTCCTCAAATAAGACAGAGTAATAGTGTAAGCTATTCCTTTTCCTCCTTTTTTGTTATCGTTAAAAGTCACAGGTGACTTACATATTCCTGCAAGAATGTCACTGTCCTCAGTGGAACATGGTTGACTGTGCTAAACTCCTCACCTCGAGGATGCGTGGAGAGACAAGAAACTCATTCGCTGAATGTTGCAAATGAGACAAAGAACCCAGGGTCCTACTGACCAGGCCCAGTGCTTTGTGCACTTTATTGCGTGCTTTCCTGCAAAATAGTATTTCACCCAGTGCCTGTATTTGATGCTGCTGTCATCGTGAGTGTTATCGTTATTTTTCATTTTCCAGCAGAACAAAAAGGCTGAGCGAAGGAGACGTCACATTACCCTGAATTGGTTTTATTCCCTTTCTTTTACCCCTCTGCACATTGGCTTCCCTTATGTGATAGAAAATACTTTGTCTTCAAGGAATAGATGCCCCTCGATGTATGACTCCATTATGTCATAGAAATACTTGGCTGTCAAGGCATAAATGAGGCAAAATCTAAATCTGAAAATGAATTCACTAAAAAAAAAAAGTTTAAAGAAACTATGCAGCACGCACGAGCAATGATTTTGTAAATTACCTAACTTGGGAGGGACTGGAAAGCATTATGCTGAGTGAACAAACTCAATCCCACCAGGACAAATAACTGTATAAAACCATTATTGTAGAATGAGTATGAAGATCTAAAGGCAGGGGGATGGCGGAAGCAGAGCGATGAGGGGGGTGTGTGTGTGAGATATTAATCATAGGGTTGTACAATTTGATGGTTGGGTGGGTGAGGGAAATTGGAAGAATCAGTTCTGAAAAACAATGTATTCGGATTTTGTAAATAAACAAGTATAAATAAATTTTAAAGGTGTGAGTCTATTATCACATTGAAAATGCTTATCATTTTCCTTTCCATCCAAATTGTAATTCTTTCCATTTTCCCCCCCCTTTCTTTTAACAGTGTATCTGGTGGAGAGCTGTTTGATCGGATAGTGGAGAAGGGGTTTTACACAGAGAAAGATGCCAGCACCTTGATCCGCCAGGTCTTGGATGCAGTGTACTATCTCCACAGGATGGGCATCGTCCACAGGGACCTCAAGGTGAGCCACTGCCTAGCAGCCTCCTCCCCACACTGCACCTACAATGCAGCTGCATGGAGAATTTATACCAGTGGTGGAGGAATCCACTGGATGTAGACATGACGGGATGAATGGTGTGGCTTTGTGTACTGTTAGTTGTCAGGGCTGCCTTCAAACCATCAATAGCTTGAAAGAACATAAAGATCCAATATGAAAAAATAATGTACTTTGTAAGTAAACCAGTATAAAATAAATTTAAAAAAAAAAGAAATGAAAGGAGCAATATCACAGCAGAATTAACTGAAATTTAAAAAAGAGGGGAATATACCCTAAAGAGACCATAAACAACATCCAAGCAGATATATGCACACCCATGTTTATCGCGGCTTTGTTCAGAATAGCAAGGAGTTGGAAACAACCTAAGTGCCCATCAGCAAACGAATGGGTAGAAAAGCTGTGGTATATTCACACAATGGGACACTACACTGCACTGAAAAACAAGGAACTCATGTAATATCACTCAAAATGGGTGACCCTGGAGTACATTATGCTGAGTGAAAAATCTCCATCACAAAAGGATAAATATTATATGGTGCCACTGTTGTAGGATGAGGCTGACATCGGGGTGGGGGTAAGACTGAGAAAAACTGGATAAATTATGTTTACTGCATTGAAGCCGATGAGGGAGAGAATAGTTTAAAATTAATATATTTTAGGGCATTATGATTATCATAAGAGTCTGGAATGAGGGTTGCAGTGTGGAGTATACTTGGGTTGGGGATGTGCAGGGTGGGGGAGGGGATTGTGTACCAATGAAGGAGTTTTTCTTTTGCTTTTCAAGGAGAGGAGCACGAACTGGGGGTGAGGGTGGGGGTGGGGAGTAAAGTGCAGCAATGAATGAATGGAATTCCAAAATCTCTGTAGACGTTCATTGAAATTATTAATAATAATTTTTTAAAGCCCATATTACGTATGAAAAAAAAGAAGAAGAAGATGAAGACTAAGCAGACTGGTCATTGTTTGAGAGATTTTATATTCATTAAGCAGTCATAGGCCAAAGGGAGACCAGGCTTATATTGCTTCAAGCCTGTCTAAAGGTAATTTTGTTCAAGACCTTAGTTGCGATCAAGTCTTTCAACTCACTGGGATACCACATGTTACAGAGTAGAACTACTCCATTTAGTTTCCTTGACTATAATCTTAAAGGAACCTGATCTTCAGTCATTTTCTTCTATAATTCGCCTGGGTAGGTTCAAACTGTAAGCTTTAAGCTAACAGTTGATGAGGTAAATGAAAAAACAAACCTCTTCTCTGGTGCATTTCTTCAGTCTTCTCTCAGTTCCAGCCCCATATCAGAACGATATACTGTATGAAGGATACAGAGCTGGGACAGAGGACAAGAGAGACAAGGGGGTTAGAAAGGTCAACAGGCAACATAGGTTAAATGATCTATAGTTGCCTCCATCTTCCTGCACCCTATAAGTTTCTTTGTTCTCATCTGAACTTTTGGCTTCTTGACATCTCACCTATGAGCACTGAAGGCTTGAGCCCTTGTTGGGATGACATTCTTCCTGGGACTATAGAGTACCAAAGCATGTGCATCAAAAATAGCAACTTAGGAATAATTAGACTCAAGGCTGTAGTTGTTTAGCAGCCTGTAGCATATTGTACCCATTAAAGTGAAAACCTCTCCTCATGCCAAATAATCATTCATGCCATAAACAAAAGGATTATACAGAAGTACAAAACTAAATAGTTCTTGTTGTTGTTATGTGCCATTGAGTCGCTTGAGACTCATAGCGACCCTATGTACAACATCCCTGAACTCTGCTCTGTCCTGTGCCAATCGCACCATCTCCGACACACCCATCCCGATTACCCCAGTCACTGAATCAATCCACCTCAAAACCCAAATATTTGTTAAAATTTCATTTTACTGCCTGGGTGGTGCAAAAATGGTTAAGCAATCATATAAACTGAGAGGTTGGAGTTCACCCAGAGGCAAATTTAAAGAAAGATGTAGGGATCTACTTCCAAAATCCAGGCATTAAAAAACCTATGAAGTTTAAGCTGTGCTTTTTGATACATATGGTGTCACCATGAATTGGAATCAAGTCAGTGATGCCTGGTTTATTTTTAGCCCATTAGCTGGGATTGGGTAGTTGGCTTTTTCCCCTCCTAGATAATTTCCAGCCATTTTCTTTTTATTTTTCTACTAATTTTTATGTGTGTGTGTTTGTGATTTGTATGGGAGTTTACAGAGAAATTGGGTTTTAGTTCACTATTTATATAGATTTATCCCACCTTCTCTCTCCCTTTATTCTCTGGTGTGTGTCTGGAGTTTTTTGTTGGGTTTTTTTTCTCCCCTTGTTGTATACTATTGAGTTTGATCCAGCTGGTACAGGGGGAGATTGCCTCTCCTTCTCCAGTGGAGCATCTGGTGGATTCAAACTGTGTACCTTTGAGATTGCAGCACAGCTTCTTGCAACTAGGCCACCAGAGGTCCCTTCTCTTAAATATCTTTTATCAACTTACTAGCTGCATAACTCATAATGTCTTTTCAGGATTACCTTTTCTTCACCTTTTCCAATGCTATTCCTTATCTTGCCATTGTCTTCCTGTTTTTCACACCTCCCCCAGTCTCTAGGACCCCCAAATCCTCTTGATTTTCTAACAGTGGTATTACACCACATTTATCCCTTTGACTGAGTTCCTTCACTCAGCATAAGACTTCTAGATCCCTCCCTGTTTTATAGTATTTCTCAAGTTCTCCGTTGTTTTCAATTCTACATAATGCTTCATTATGTGGATATTCGTTTGTTGATAGACAATTGGGCAACTTCCATCTCTTTGCTGCTATTGTAAACATGGGTGTGTGGTATTGGGTTTCAGGATCTAAATTGTTTGGCCTTTCTTTATAAGGACTTAATTACTGTTAAAAAAAAAGCATACATTCTGTGGTTTTCTTGGAAGGGTTTTGTGTGTGTTTTCTATGTTATCATTTTCCATTGACAAGGACCAAACTAAATTCACTTCCATTGAGTCCATTTGCCTTGTAAAGACCTTCTGGGAGAGAGTAGAATTTCCCCTAAGGGTTGTCAGTGCTGTGAATTTTTATGAAAGTAGACTGCCTCATGTTTTTCAAACTGAGAAGCTGGTGAGTTTAAACTGCTAACCTCTCAGTTAACAGCTAAAAGCTAAAAATTGCATCATTATCTCTCCTTATTGACAAGCGTGGTGGTTCCTAAAAGCTGTTCTTTATTAGAGTAATCTTGAGGGCTTTTAGAAACAGAGATTGTTCCTTTCACCCTAACTCACTCTCACCAAAAATCTATAGAGAGAGAATCTGAGGGAGCTCTGGTGGCTTGTTATTGTTGTAAGCTGCCTTCAAGTCAAGTACAACTCATGGCGACCTTATGAACAACAGCTCTGAATCCTATTCTATCCTGTCTCGTTCATCATCTCTGACATACTTAAACCCATTACTGCTGTAACTGTGTCAGTCAATCTTATTTAGAATCTTCATCTTTTTCACTGACCTTCCACCTTTCCATTCATGACATCCCTCTTCAAGGAATAACCTAACAACATGCCCAAAGTATGTGAGATCAGATTTTGTCATCTTTGCCTCCAAAGAACACTCCAGCTGCATGCTTTCCAAGACATATTTGTTTGTTGTTTTGGAAGTTCATGGGATATTTCATACCCTTCTCCAAGCAAGCAGAGTTATGTCATCTGAATAACACAGGCTTTGCTGAGTCTTCCTCTGATTCTGATGCCATATTTTTCTTCATAGAGTCTAGTTTCTTGAATTATTTGCTCAGCATACATATTGAATAGGGATAGAGAGAGGATACAACCTTGACACACACCTTTTCTGACTTTAAACCATGTAGGGTTCTCTTACTTTGTTGGACAACAACCTCTTCGTCTAGGTATAGCTTTCACATGAACACGGTTAAGTATTCTGGAGTTTCCATTCTTCTCAATGTTAGCCACAACTTGTTATGATTTACATAGTCAAATGCCTTTGCATAGTCAATAAGGCATAAATGGACATTCTTCTGATACTCTCCACTTTCATCTGGGACCCAGCTGACATGAGCAGTGATATCCCTGATGCCATAGCCTTTTCTAAACCCAGCCTGAACTTCTGGCAGTTCTCTGTCAGTGTACTGTTTCAGCTATTTGGGGGATGATCTTTTGCAATATTTTGCTTGCATGTGATATTAATGATGATTGTCATTGTTGTTGTTATGTGCCATCAAGTCACCTGCAACTCATAATGACCCTTGTATAACAGCCCTAAACCCTGCTCTATCCTGTGCCAATCTTACTGTCTCTGGCTTACCTACCCCAACTACTCCAGTCATTGAGTCAGTCCATCTCATCGAGGGTCTTCCTCTCATGTGCTGTCCCTCCACCCTCTCAAGCATGATGTCCCTCTCCAAAGACTGGTCCCTCCTTGCAACATGTTCAGAGTAGGTCAGACAAAGCTTCAAAATGTTTGCTTCCAAGGAGCAGCCTGGTCTCACCTTCTCTAGGATGAAGCTGTTTGTTTTCTTAGCAGTCCATGGTATATTCAGTACTCTTCTCCAGCACCACAGCTCAAAGGCATCAATTCTTCCTCTGTCTTCCCTAATCATTGTCCAGCTCTCTGATCCATAGCAAGTAATTGCAAAGACCATAGTCTGTATCAGGTGCACCTTAATCTTCAGACTGACGTCATTGCTCCTCAGTATTTTGGAGAGGTCTCTGACAGCAGACTTTCCCAGTGCAATTTGTTTTTTTTATTTCCTGGCTGCTGGTACCAAGAGTGTTGGTCGTGGAGCAAAACAAACTAAAGTTGTTAAAAATCTCAGTCTTCTCACCATCTATCATAATGCTGCCAATTGGCCTAGTGGTGACAATAATTTTTTTTTATGGTGAGCTTCAATCAATAGTGAATGGTGCAGTTCTTGACCTTCTGCAGCAAGCACTTCAGGTCCTCCTCAGTTTCAGCAAGCAGGGTTGTATTTGTA